TCCCATTCTCCCAAACGATGTCATTAATAATGAAAGCGAAACAAGATGAAGAACAGCACCTTCAATTTTAAACTGTTTATTTACTTACTATTTGCAAAGTAGGAGCAGATTTAATGCACCTCTGATTACCGTGATATTTCAAATGACTTTTGAATGTGAGACCCTAAGATTCTTTCTGATCTCAGAGTCATTTCCAGTTTAACTTTTGCAAACGGAACTCAGGCTCCCCTCCTGCCCCACCCATCCCCTGAGAAGGCACGGCACTGTCACCAGCGTTCATAGAAGTGAGAAACCTGGAGGGTCAACATCACACTCCCGTTCTATCACTGCGGTCACTCGATCGGTGGAGCACTTCATTTCTCAAATCTCCGCCCCTCCTTGCCTCGGCCACCACCCATGCGGCTTCAGCTACAATCCCTGCCCGGACGATTACAGGAGCTCCCACACAGCTCTTCTCAGCCTGGCCCTCCTCCCGGGTATTCTTGCTGCTGCACTCTGAGTGGTTCTTGTCAAAACCCAGTTCGGACAAGGTTACTCTTTGGTTTCAAACCTTTCAGCGGTCTTCCACTGCTCTTAGGTTAAAACCCCCAAAGCGAACATGACATGGTCCTTGCTTATCTCGTTATTGACCATTTTAGCTCTCCGGGCTTCCTTTTGTTTCTTAGAGACCTCCAGCCTCTTTCGCGATAGGACCTGGGCACATGCCATCCCCTACCTTTAGTCAAACTCACTTACTGCCACAGAGTGGATGCCAACTCAGAGTGACCCTGCAGGGCACGACAGACCGCCCATGCGGGTTTCCGAGACTACAATTCTTTTTGCTTTTTCTTTAACAGTTTCATTGGCACTTCATCTACACGCCATACAATTCAATAATATCAAGAGGAATTGTACAATCATTGCCATAGTCAAATTTAGAATACTTTCTTCTTTGTACTCGTTGTTATTTGTGTGATTGTTATTTTTAATTGTGGCAAAAATATATACAAGAGTACAAGTAACAAGTGTTGGAGGGGCTGTGGTGAGATAGGAACTCCCGTCCACTGCTGGTGGGCCTGTCGGTATGAACAGCCATTATGGAAAGCAGTTTGGCCATATCTAAAACAAATGGAAATTGAGCTACCATGCGACCCAGCAATCCCCCTACTGGGCATATACCGAGAAGCGGCAAGAAACAAACCACAGCCAGACATCTGTTCTCCAACATTCACCGTGGCACAGCTCACAGTTGTAAGGAGTTGGAAACAACCCAAATTTCCATCAATGAACGAATGGATCAAAAAGCTGTGGTGCATACATACAATGGAGTACTTACTACGCATCCCTAAAAAGCAGTGATGAACGCATGAAGCACATCGCTGCATGGGAAGAACTGGAGGAAATAATGCTAAGCGAAGTAAGGCAAGCACAAAAGGACAAGTACCCACATGAGTCCACTGAGGTAAAAAAATGGGACATAGGGAAAAAGCTACTATATACATACATTCCTGGGGTGAGGTCCAGGTACTATAGCAGGGGCCAAACCCAATCCAGGGATACATACAGCAGCCAACTAAATAGGAGGGGGAAAGAAAGAAAAAACCCAAAACAAAATAGAAAGAGACATGGGTAGGGGAGGAGCAGGGCACTAACTGACCCAAGGGGAAGGTATTGTTTATATCTCCACAGGAGGAGAGACCAGGTTTCAACCCGATGCGTCAAGACACGAATAAAACATACCGGTATGTACCAGGGAACCAATAGAGAGGTCTACAGTACCTACAATACCAACTATGTGCACCCGTCCCCCACTCCCACCCCCCGAAGAATGCACTTCAGAGGACAGCACTGAAGCTACAGTTTGGGGAGAGGGGCACATCTGATTGGAGCACACATGAGAAATGAAGAGGGAGACACAGTGCGGGAATTATGCCCAATCTGACCCCATCACACTGGGGCAAAACACTAAGGGCGTGCAACAGAGCAGCAAAGGGAGCAAAGTGATGAAATCCCTGGGGAATACCAAAAATAGACTTTGGAGATAGAATGTGCACCCCATCAAACTGGACTGGAAAACACTCGTAAAGGCCAACAAACAGACCTTGAACTATTTATAGGCTTTTCCATTTTTGTCAGTGGCTTTCTTTTTGTTGTTGCTGTTTTGTTTTGGTTGTTATTGTTTTGTTGGTTTTGACTTCCTTTGTTGTTTTGTTTGCTTTTGCCTGTTTTTTGTGTTTATTAATGTCTCTGCATGTCTATCTAGATAAGAAAGGCGGGATAAGCAATTTGGAGATGAGAAGAATGGACTGATGGTTCGGGGAGTGGGGGGCGGGATGTGGGAGAAGAGGAGGTGGGAGAAAGGAAGGGCAGGGGGACCAAACCATGGACAAGGGAACTACAAGTAAACTAAAATCAGTGGAGAGAAGGGCGTAGCATGCCTAGTGGGGCTTAACCAAGGGCAATGTAGCAGCAAGGAATTACTAAACCCAAATGAAGGCCGAACATGATGGTGGGACAAGAGGAAAGTAAGAGGAAATAGAGGAAAGAACCAGGAGGCAAAGGACATTTATAGAGGTCTAAATACTGGCATGAACATATGTAAATATATTTATATGTAACGAGAGGGGAATAGATCTGTGTACTTAGATCTGTATGTTAAGAATTAAGATTGCAGATGGACATT